TTCTCTACTCAATCAAATGTTTTCTTGTAATCAATATCCAGTAAACAGTGGTATACTGTACTTTTTAGTCAATTTTCTAACTCTAAAGATGTGATTTGCTATAAAATTTTATTTTCAAAAGTCTTCTAAGATGTGATATTTAGAACAGGAAGGGAGAATTAAGAGGTTATGTAGTCCAACCTGGTCGTACTTTACAGATGAGAAAACTGAGGTCTAAAGGATGAAAGGAAGGGGAAGGGAAAAGGAAATAAGCGTTTATTAAACACCTACTATGTGCCAGACACTATGCTAAGCACTTTACAAATATTATCTTTTGTTGAACCTGGGAGGTAGGTGCTGTTATTATCCTCATTTTATGGTTGAGGAAAGAGACAGACAAGTGATTTGCACAGAGGCACACAGCTGGTAAGAGTCTGAGGTGAGATTTGAACTCAGGTCTTCCTGACTCCAGGGTCAGCACTCTATCTACTGCTCTACCTAACTGCTTCTAGGTGTGAAAGTAAAGTATGACTTGCCTAATTAAGGCCACAGACAGTAATATGGCAGTGCCAAGATTCAGACCTAGGGCTTCTGTGGGAGACAGCATGGTTCGAGAGTCCTGATCTCGGAGTCACACAACCGGAGTTCAGATCCCAATTCTGTCACTTAATTCCTGTGTGACCTTGGGTAATTCACTGACAATCTTTCAATCTCAACTTCTTCATCTATATAATGAGGATAGACTAAAAGAAGAGGCAGGTAAGTGGTATAGTGGGTAGAGCCCTGGGCCTGGAGTCAGGAAGACATCTTCCTGAGTTCAAATTTGGCCTCAGACACTTACTAGCTGTGTGATCCTGGGCAAGTCACTTATCCCTGTTGGCCTCAGTTTCTTCATCTTTAAAATGACCTGGAGAATTACTCCAGTATCTTTGCCAAGAAAACCCCAAATGAGATCATGAAGAGTTAGACGCAACTGAAAAATGGCTAAACAACAAAAAGATTAAGTGATCTCCAAGGCTCATTCTAACTCTCAGTCTGTGGTCCTATGATTCTGTATCCTGTGCTTTACTTAACATGATTGCTCCTTCTCCAGTCTTAGGACTCTAAATCCCATGATTTCCTATTCTACGTCTGCCTCTTTACTGTTCTGCCTCATATTTTCAAGAGTGTCTTCAATAGAGTACTAGCTTTGCAGTCAGGAAGATGAATTCTATCTAATCCTGCCTCAGACATTTACTAAATGTGACTCTGGGCAAGATCTTTAACTTCTTTCAGCCTCAGTTTACCTCATCTGTAAAATGAGCATGATAATAATTCCACCTACCTTACAAGATTGCTAAGAGGAGCCAATCAGGTGAGATTATATATGTAAATTGCTTTATGAACATTACAGCACTATATAAACATTCACTGTTACATGTAGATCATTTCATAAGATTTTACAAAAATGAGAAAGTAAACATATGGATCAGTTATTGCTATCCTCTTGATCTTCGTTTTTGTGTACCCTTAAAGTCTTTGCTTCTTCCATTCCATTCCTTTAGTATCTTCCCTTTTCTGAAATACTCCATGTAACCAGAAGCCTCCGTGCTCTCGGGATTGTTTCACTGTCAGCACAGATGGTCCCCCATATAGTAGGTCAGCTCTAGTTGTCCTTCCTCACTTCATTTTCTTAAATGTCATTTCTACTTCCTCATTTGACTCAGAGCAGAGTTAGAGTAACCAAATGAGGTGTTCTCACCGTCACTGATAATGGAAGGAGATTATGGTGGAAGCAATGACAAATCTCTTCCATTATACTCCTGTTTTTTACCCTCAAATCTGTTTCATCTGGGAATGTCCTTGAGATGTGACCTAGTTCGTGCTCAAGCCAAGCTTTTGATTGACTTGGTTTGTAAAAGCCCTCCAGTGCTTTGAGCTATTTTGAGAGGCAGAACTACTCATCCTCTGCCGTATTTGCTTATCCATGGTGTTTTGTAAATGAGTTATGGACTCAATAGAAATGACCCTACTCTACCCCCTTTTAAACCTGGACCTACTCAGAAGTCCCCTAGAGTTTGACCTCTGCATGTCAAACACATCAAATAGGCTTTTAGCTTAGGGGAACTAGAGATTGGAACCATGTACTGCCTGTAAGTGGCGGAAGGGAGTGAGTGGCTTCAGGTGGACCCTATAAGGGCTGATGGCGCTCGGCCATCAAGGAGTACTGACTTAAAGGAAACAAAAAAGAGGTGATGCTAGGCCCCTGTAAATTCATACCTGCTGGGATGGTTGTTGCCTTATTACAATTCTGTACTTCCTCATTCCTTAAACTTCTTAGGCTATTCTGTTTGACCTGTTCTTTGTACTCATTCATTGTCTAACTTATCATCGGATCTATATTTAAAGCTAGAGGTCATCACATCCAGTCTCCTTGTTTTACAAATGAGTAAACTTGAGTAAGCTGAAAGAGGTTAAATGATGCCCAGAATCACATGGGTAGTGTCTGAGGTAAGATTTGAAGACATATTCCTGACTCCAAATTTAATCTGCTTTGCCATGCACCTAGTTATAATAATTTTCTTTATAGGTATTTGAACATCATCTACCACTAGCAGTGTGCTGTAAGTGGAAAAAGAATTGTTCTTAGAGTCAGAACCAGGGCTAGAGTCCCAGTCCTTACATTTACTTGCTCTGTAATAGTGGACAAATCACTTAAAGTCTCTGAGCCATAATGTCCTCATCTACGAAATAAAAATAATCGCTTAAGAAATGCTCATCCTTCTTGCCTTCATTCAGGGTTGCTATGAGGTAAGAAAAACACTTTAGTAACTTTAAAGTGTTATATGAATGTGAGCCCATTTTTAGTTTTTGGGAGACTGTTGGTTTCCATGTCTCAAGGTGTTTGGTACAGCATATGGCCTGTGAGGAATTTTAAAGAATGGGAGTAAAAGCTCTTGTTAGGGAAATGTATGATTGGAAGAGAACTAGCACAGGTTGGTCATGTGATGAGGGTAAGGGATGAAAAAATGGACAACTGGAGTCTTCCTTTGGTATCCTTGAGATGTCTGGAGGTAGTGAAGAAGGTGCCTAGTACTTGGATACTCAAGTCCCTACTCTTTTTTTTTAATTTGTATTTCTTTTAGTGATTTGGAGCAGTCTTTCATATGGATGTTATTGTTGTATCGTCTGACTAGTGGTTTGCTACTTCTCCAGCTCATTTTACAGATGTGAAAACTGAGGCACACAGGATGAAGTGACTTGCCCAGGATCACAAAGCTACTAAGTGCCTGAGGCCAGATTTGAACTCAGGAAGATGAGTATTCCTTATTCCAAGCCTAGTGCTCTATCCAGTACACCACCTGGCTGCCCATATGGTTGTTAGTGGTTTTCAGTTCTTATGCTGAGAACCCTTTATTCATTAGAGGCAGCTAGTTGGCATAGTGAATAAAATACTGGGCCCAAAGTCAGGAAGACCTGAGTTCAAATTCGGCCTCAGAGACTTCCTAGCTTGGTGACCCTGGGCTTACTTAACCCCTGGCTGCCTCAGTTTCCTCAAGTGTAAAATGGGATAATAATGCCACTTATCTCCCAGGGTTATTGTGAGGATCAAATGAGACAATATTTTTAAAGCACTTAGCATGGTATCTGGCACATAGGAGGCACTTAATAAATGCTTATTTCTTCCTTTTCTTTTTTCATATCTTTTGACCAGTTATCCATTGGAAAAGGGTTCTTGGTCGTATCTTGAATACCAGACCCTTATGTTTGGTGCTAAGATTTTTTCCCCCCAATTGACAGCTTCTCTTCTTATCCTAGTTGCATTGATTTTTGTTCATGTAAAAGATTTTTAATTTCATGTAATCTGAGCTACTTATTTTATCTTTTGTGATCAACCCTTTCTCTTGTTTATATGATTTCCTGATATTGTTTTCCCCCATTAGTAACTGATATGGTTCTCTTGTAATTTGCTCTTGCTTTTAATATTCAGGCTATATATCCATTTTGAGCTTATTGTTGCATATGGCAAAAATCTGTTCTTGTTGTCTAAGTAGTCCTTTTCAAATAAAGAATTCATCTCCAAGTAATTTATGTTTTCATGTTTATTGAACACTGAGTAATTGAGCTCAAATGTTTGTTTCTTTTTTTTTACCTAGTCTATTCCATTGAACTGCTTTTCTGTTTTTTAGCCAGCACCACGTAGTTTTACTTTACAGTATAATCCGACGTCTGAAAGTGATATTTCTCCTTCATTTCTATACTTTATCATTCTTTCTCTTGAGATTTTCGACCCTTTATTCGTCCAAATGAATTTTGTTTTTATTTTGTCTAGCTCTATAAAGCCAGACCTTGATAATTTGGGGTTGTACTGTTTATAAATTTATTTAGGTAATAATGGCATATTTATTTTATTTGGAGGTCCCAGTCATGAACACAGAATATTCCCCATAAGTCCTTTATTTCTTTGAGGAATCTCTGCCCTTGAAAACATATTTTAACTGTTTTTTAGTGCAGTCTTGGAGGTTACTAAAACAAGAATCCTGGCCACCTTACATCCCACTTTAGCAAGGCTACCGAAGAAAGTAGCTTAGAATCTTAATAACCTACTCTGGACCCTTCTGTAGCAGAATATGTTTTGGCTAATGCTCCTGGCCAGGTTTTCCCTGTTGGCAATATATTGGAGGCCCTGAAGTATCAGCTGGGAAGTACACCAGATGGTGTGTGGTGTGCAGACTCTTAAAGTGATCACTTTTTCCCCCTCTGGCTTTTGGTGGGAGTGGAAAGGGTGATATTAGTAAAGAAGATGACTTCTGACAATAATAGAGACCATGGGAAGGCCATGTTGACTTTGCGGGAAGAAAATTGGCAGAGAAGAGAAATTGGCAGAGGAAAGGGAAGCTACAGAAGGAGAAGATTTGCTAGCTAACGTTTCCTAAACTGGTTGCAAAATCTTTTTCCTGATGTTGTTTTCAACATCGTGTATTATGTCATTATCACCATAGAAGTTTCCTCAAGAGTAACACATATGTTTTCTCTTCCAGAAGTGACATTGAAGGTCCACATCAGTGACGCCAGCACCCATCAGTCAGTCAACGAAGCCTTCATTGAGATATTTACCAACCAGGTCTCTATTGCCTCTGGAACATCAGGAGCAGATGGCACAGCTTTCATCAAGTTTCAGTATCAACTGGGCAGTCAGCTGATCGTCACGGCCAGTAAGCCTGCATATGTACCAAATTCTGCACCATGGAAACCCATACGGTTACCTGGTAAGTTAGGTTTTACTTTGCTCTATCTGATTTCTTATATATTGCGTTTGAATCCAAAGAGAAATTGACCTCTACATAACCAATATTTATCAGTTTATATTTGCTGTAGCTTAGTCCTCTCTTCTCCATTAAAGTTATATTTTAATTTAAGTTTCATCATTGTGTGGAGGTGACAGTGGCTTCTATTGGTCTTACCAGTAGAATCCCAAGCTTTGGAAGGTCCTAACAAGCTGGACGTGGTTCAAGAAGAAGTGGACTAAGTCTATGTCTGTTGTCTGAGAACTTTTCCAGCCTGGCAGGGGAGGGGAACCTGAAGCCTGAAGACAGTAGGTTCCCCACCCCTGGTTTCGAGGCTCATCACCAGTTTGACCACAGGGTAATTAATTTTTTGGCAATTCTCAAAGACCTCCTACTAAATTAACAGAACGGGGTACAATCTGTACTGGTAGAGGAGAAATCCAAATGCTAATGAAATTACAGCTCTTTGCCTTCACTGATTTATATTTGTAGATAATTGTGTGCCCTCAGAAGGAGAAAATTATAGACTGATAACCAAACCTGCCATGTATCAGTCATCATTGAACTCAAGACTGTGCATTTGGGCTATGTTTCTTCATCAAAAGTGCTTTGCATACCTTAACACACTGTATAAATGTTAACTTCTTATTTGTGTCAACTTTTGCACCTAGATAACTTTCTTCATTCAGTAAGTGTTTACTCCTATTTTAGTTGTTATTATATCATACAGAAATGAGATAAAGTAAAGTTCTCATTTTGTTGGGAAGTGAAGTGGCCTTAGAATTACTACTCCATGATTTTCCCCCCATTTGAGGTTTTTGCTCTTTCAGTCTTGTAGAAGTCAGTAGTTTCTAAAAGCTCTAATTCTCCTTCTCCTGAGGCAGGATCTGTTTGTGGAGAGATAATATTCTAAGAGGACCACACCCCAGCAGATTCGACTCATTTTAAGGTCCCATCTGCCACTGCATAACCTCTCTCTTCCACTATGAGAATGTTATTCAGTAGAACCTTCTTCCCTCATTGAATCTAGAATCCCCCCTTTTTTTCCTTTCCTTTACCTCCTTACCTATTCTGTCCAGGCCCCTCTTCTTCCTGAGACACTGTAGAAATTATTTTCCATTCACTATTTACCATTGAATTGTTTAGGGTACATCATACATATTTTCCTATTCTCTTTTTCCTTCTTATTCCCTCCATATATTCTACAATACAGTCACACTGGCTTCCTTGCTATTATATCTACAAAATAATCCATCTCTCAACTCCATGAATTTTCTTTTTTTCTTTTTAAATATTTATTTTTTCCCAGTTACATGTTAAAACTATTTTTAACATTTTTAACATTTTGAGTTCCTATGCCCAAAGGGCAACCAAACTGTGCATACCCTTTGATCCAGCAATACAACTATTAGGTCTGTATCCCAAAGAGATTATAAAAAAGGGAAAAGGACCCACATGCACAAAAATATTTATAGTAGCTCTTTTTGTGGTAGCAAAGAATTGGAAACTGAGAGGATGTCCATCAATTGGGGAAGGGCTGAACAAGTTGTGGTATATGAATGAAATGGAATACTATTGTGCTATAAGAAATGATGAGCAGGTGGATTTCAGAAAAACCTGGAAAGACTTAAATGAACTGATGCTGAGTGAAGTAAGCAGAACCAGGAGAACATTGTACACAGCAACAGCTACATTGTGTGATGATTAACTGTGATAGACTTAGCTCTTCTTAGTAATACAATGATCCAAGACAATTCCAAAAGACTTGGGATGGAAAATGCTAACCACATCCAGACAAAGAACTGATGAAGTCTGAATGCAGGTGGAAGCATACTGTTTTCCCTGCTTTTGTATTTTGTTTTCCTTCTTGTGGCTTTTCCCTTTTGTGCTGATTCTTCTTTCAGAACATGACTAATGTGGAAATACGTTTAACATGGTTGTACAAGTATAACTTATATTAGATTGCTTGCTTTCTTGGTGGGGAGTGGGGAGAGGAAGGAGGCTGGAAGAAAAATTTGGAACTTAAAATTTTATAAAAATAAATGTTGAAAACAATCCTTTGACCCTGTCCATCCTCAAAAATGGGTGTGATGTGGTAACTCAGAGTTGTTTTGATTTGCATTTCTCTAATCAATAGTGATTTAGAGCATTTTTCCATATGACTATAAATAGCTTTAATTTCTTCATCTGAAAATTGCTTGTTCATATCCTGTGACCATTTATCAATTGGGTAATGACTTGTATTGTCATAAATTTGACTCAGTTCTCTATATATTTTAGAAATGAGACCCTTATCAGAGACACTGATTGTAAAAATTCTTTCCCAGTTTTCTGCTTCCCCCCCTAATCTTGGTTGCATTGGCTTTGTTTGTGCAAAAACTTTTCAATATAATATAATCAAAATTTGGATAGCATTTTTCATCATAAGTCCTTTGGAATTATCTTGGATCATTGTATTGCTGAGAGGAACTAAGTCATTTAGTTGATCTTCACCAAATATTGCTGATAATGTGTACAATATTCTCCTGGTTCTGCTAATTTCACTTTGCATCAGTTCACGTAAGTCTTTCTAGGTTTTTTGAGAGTGTTTTGCTTGTCATTTCTTATACTAGAATAGTATTCCATCACAATCATATACTACTACTTCATCAGCCATTCCCCAATTGATGGACATCCCTTCAATTTCTGTTTCTTTGCTACAACTAAAAGAGCTGCTATAAATATTTGTGTACATATAAGTCCTTTTCCCTTTTTGTTTTTTTATCTTTTTGGGATACAGATCTAGTAGTGGTATTGTTGGATCAAAGGGAATGCATGATTTTATAGCTCTTTGGGCATAGTTCCAAATTGCTTTCCAGAATAGTTGAATCAGTTCACAACTTCACCAGCAATGCATCAATGTCTCAATTTTCCCACATCCACTCCAATATTTGTCATTTTCCTTTTCTCTCGTATTAGCCAGCCTGATAGATGTGGGGTGGTGCCTCAGAGTAATTTTCACTTGCATTTCTCTAATCAATAGAGATTTGGCACACTTTTCATATGACTATAGGTAACTCTGACTGCTTCCTCTAAAAACTGCCTCTTCATGTCCTTTGACTATCATTTGGGGAATGGCTCTTATTTTTATAAATTTCACTCAATTTATCTATATATTTGAGAAATGAGACCTTTGTCAGAGAAACTTGCTGTCAAATTTTTTTCACATTTATAATTACTATGTATTTCCCTCCCATCCTATTTTCCCCCTTGTTTATACTACTCTCTCTTCCTCTCTTTTTTGACCCTATCCATCCTCAAAAATGTTTTGCTTCTGACTACTACTTCCCCCAATCTGTCCTCCCTTCTATCTGCCTGCCCCCCTTTTCTTATCCCCTTTCCCTTCCTACTTTTCCTGTTTAATAAGATAGTTTTCTATACCCAGTTGAATGTGTGTGTTATTACCTATTTGAGCCGATTCCAATGAAAGTAAGGTTCAAGTGCTGTGCCCTACCTCCCCCATCTTTCCCTCCACTGTAAAAGCTCTTACACCTCTTATCTTACATAAGATACTTTATCCCGTTCTGCCTCTCCCTTCTTCCTTCTCCCAGTGCATCCATCTGTCTTACCCTTTAATTTTATATTTTAGATGTCATTCCATTATATTCAGCTCATACCCAGGTTCTCTGTCTATGTATACTTCCTCTAACTATCCTAATAATAATAAAATTCTTAGGAGTTACAAGTATCATCTTCCCACATTAGAATGTAAATAGTTTAGCCTTTTTTAATTCCTTATGATATCTTTTTCATGTGTACCTTTTGATGCTTCTCTTGAGACTTATATTTGAAAGTCATATTTTTTTATTCAACTCTGGTCTTTTTATTGGGAATGCTTGAAATTCCTCTATTTCGTTGAATGTCCATTTTTCCCCCTGAAGGATTATATGCAGTTTGCTGGGTAGGTGACTCTTGGTTGTAATCCTAGCTCCTTTGCCCTCCAGAACATCATATTCCAAGCCCTCTAATTCTTTCACGTAGAAACTGCTGAATCTTATGTTAGCCTGACTGTAGCTCTACCGTATTTTAATTATTTTTTTCTGGCTGCTTGCAGTATTTTCTCCTTGATCTGGGAGCTCTGGAATTTTGCTTTAACATTCCTGGGAGTTTTCATTTTGGGATCTCTTTTAGGAGTTGATTGGTTGATTCTTTCAATTTCTATTTTACCCTCAGGGCAGTTTTCCTTGATAATTTCTTGAACTGTGATGTTTAAGCTGCTTTTTTTTTTTTAATCATGGCTTTCAGGTAGTCCAGTAATTCTTAAATGATCTCACCTTGATCTGTTTTCCAGGTCAGTTGTTTTTCCAAAGAGATATTTCGTATTTTCTTCTAGTTTTTCATTCTTTCAATTTTGTTTTATTGTTTCTTAGTGTCTTATGGAGTAATTAGCTTCCCTTTGCCCAAATCTCATTTCTAAGCAATTATTTTCTTTAGTGAGCTTTTGTACCTCTTTTTCCATTTTGCCAGTTTTACTTTTTAAGGAGTTCTTCTCTTCAGTGAATTTTCGTATATCTTTTTCTATTTGGCTTATTCCTTTTTAAGGTGTTATTTTCTTCAGCACCTCCTTTACCAAGCTGTTGACTCTTTTTCCATGATTTTCTTGTGTCGCTGTTATTTCTTTTCCCAATTTTTCTTCTGCCTCTCTTATTTGATTTTTTAAATGTTTTTTGAGCTCTCCCAGGAATTTGTTTTGAGCCTGCAACTAATTCACATTTTTCTATGAGGCTTTAGAAGTAGCAGTTTTGACTTTGTTGTCATCTTCTGAGTTTGTGTTTTGATTTTACCTGTCACCATTGTAATTTTCTATGGTCAGGTTCTTTTTTCGTTATTTACTCATTTTCCCAGCCTATTTCTTGACTTTTAACTTGATGTTAAAGTAGGGCTTTGTTCCCGGGGAGAAAGAGGCACTGTCCCAAGCCTCAGGCCTTTCTTGCTGTTACTCT